TAACCCATAATGCTATCGTACTACCCATCCAAAGGTCTCATATTTGTTAGCACTTGTGAAATCTAGGCTTTCAAGTCATAGAATAATAAGTCAAAAGGGTAGCCTTCAATAGACATTGACATGTTCATTTCTATCCAATATTCTAAATTCTATTTTCAATGTCTGGAAAGAGCATACCTACAAGTCTTTTGACCAAGACAAATCAACTAGTAGGGTAAATATTCATAAGTTTATAATGAATATTTTAACAATACTACATATATATAGAGCACGAGTAAAAACTATTAAGTCTCGTAAACCTATTGTCATATTTGTCGCCTTTTCTTTAATGTGTATATCTTACATGATTTAAGAACTATTATGTCATTAAAGTATTTTGACATATCATTGTAGTAGGTTATTTTTAAGATTTTCATGTTATCAATTTTATTTTTCTTTATAATTATTTATAGTTATCTTTAACAAATATATTTAATAAAATAAAATTTTAAAATTTATACCGTAAAAGCTTAACTTTTCCCAAAATTCATATCATTCATCCGTCATATATTCATTATTGTCAAAGCAAAGTTGGTGATGTCCAGCTCAACGGACTCTTACAAAATAATAATTAATTAAGTGCACAAAGCATTCCGTATAAATAGAATATAAAGAAATAATGTATCCCAAAAAATGTAATGTAAATAGTTTATTCTAATGAAAACATTTTTATTTGATTTCCGCTGTGATAATGAGAAGAAAATATATTTGTTGTTGCCACCACATATGAGAAACTACATTTATTAGTAAGGATTTAAACTAGGAGAAATTGTATATAATAACAAATTAATAACCTAAAATAATGGAGTAGCTAGGATTTAACATAAGTGTATAAAAATTATTTCTAATTGTATAAAGCAAAAAAATTGTATAAATATATATATTTTTGTTCCCCTCTCTCTCCTCTTCCAGATCTCGCTCGGCACTCTCTCAAATCTCGCTCGCCACTCTCATCTTTCTCACTTATACAAACAGAAGCGAAATGTATAAATTGCGTGAGAAAATTGTATATACACATGCAAGTACATATATTTTCGTCCCATACACTTATAATTATACAATAAAAGTACTCCCCCTGCCCAGTTTCTTTTGCCTTTCTCTCTTTCTTTTTTTATACAATTTTCAAATTGTATTAAATTTCTCTCTTTCTCGTTTTATACGATTCAATTTAATTGTATATTCCCTGGCAAGTCTCTTTTGTCTTTATCTCTTTCTCATTTTATACAAATTTAAATTGTATATAATCGTTCTATACACTTATAATAATACAATCGTTTTATCCACTTCGTTTTTATATTGTTTTCTGCCCAAGTGTTTTTTTCTTTCTTGTTTTATACACTTCGTTTTATACAATTTGCTTCAACTGTATATGTAATAGCGAATTATTCAGTTTTTATGTTTGCTATGGAGCACAATTATGTAAACTTCGCTATAGCATACAAGTATAAATTTTTTATTTGCTATATGTGAAAATTGCCCTTAAAGTATTATTTAGATTTTTTTTGGAAAAAGATGATTAATAGTGTATTCTGAATAATGTTAGGCCCATAAAGATTTAGTTAAGAGTCATTCCTCCAAGTTTTATTTGGGCCGGTTAATATCTTAGGTTAGGTACTTAGGTAGGTAAGAAAGGCTATGTCCTGCATTGGACTGGGCTTCAAAAGTTTTTAGGATATGAACGCAATGATATTTTGGTCATTCGCACAAATGTTTCTATTTTCCGGTATTTACTAGAAAAAAATTATCGATATATATATATTTTTTAATTTTTATTAATTTTTATCAGTTTTAAAATTTCTCATTTTTTTAGCACAACACAAAACTGGTGGATACAAAATTTCAACTATTTTTTCTCCTTTTTTCGCGCCACAAATCTCTCCATAGTTACCCATTAATCCATTTTTGGAATTTCAAGTCTTTTCTCCTTCCAATTAATTATTTTTAGTTATCCAAGAGGTATATCACTTTCTATAACTTCAGCTTTGCTTTTTTTTTTTTTCATTATAAAAAATATTCATACATATGAATGAAGGTCCATATTTTAATATTGGGCTTATCAATTAGTCGAAGAAGAAAGCATCATCGACTTATCGACTATGGGAAAATGCTCAAAAAGGTAGAAAAATCCAATCTAGCTCTTGTAAGGACTTTGGATTGAGATTCATGAATGAGCCCATTGTTAACCATGAAAAAAAGATATAAGAGTGAATGTTGATGTCTTCTAAAGTTCTAAAGTGAATGTAGGGAAGGAGAAGTCGAAACAAATCAAATTGTTGATTTTTTTTTCTTCAATTTTTTCTTGTTCATTTTTTATGATGCATACACGTTCAGATTTTTTATATATCGAGTTGTTTTTGTTTCTTAAATTAATATATAATGCCTTCCTTTCAACATTATGATGCAATCACAATTTTATCATGTATCAAATTACTACATTATCTTACCGCTATAGTTTGTAATACATTAACTAGATTATTTAAACTGTCTACTTAATTTTGTTTCTTAATTAATGTACAATGTTTTTGTTTCTACACTATGATACATTACAATTTTATCATGCATATTGTATCATGTTCAAATATTAATTTTGATACATAACTTTAATTCATTTTGATAATACAAAACTTTTACCAAATGTATCATTCTATCATGTATGTATGGATATATATTTTCTACCTATAAGAATTAGTTAATTTAGAGGGGTTTTAAAGAGATTTAAACATGATGGTGAAGATCTTGTTTTGGGTTTGAAATTTAGTATTTGTTGAAGGGTTTTCACCATATATATATATATATATTCAGCTAGTCATGGTAATACATACACATATATATATATACATCATTTTTCCGATAGGATAACCTTATCTTTTGATTGTACTGTATCTATTTATTTCTCTACTTTAATAGTAGCATTCACAATATATTTTTAGTATATATCTAAGACATATTTTACTTTTATTAGATACATATATACTATTAAATCTCGAACGTTATTGTCAAAATCTCTTGGTGACGAATATTTGGTATTAGTTAGGTTTTCAGTTAACAACAAACTTGTCATAGTAAAATACTCGAAACACACGTATATATTTATTGAAGATGGTCTAGTAAATGTGTTGAATGTTTACGTTTATTTAATATTGTTTTTTGTATATATTTTATATTTCTAACTTCTTACATTATCGTTAATGATAACTTGATGATAACTATTTTTTTTTCAATTGACAGTATAATAGGTGTTAAGACATAAATAGACAAATGTATAGATTTTTATCTGAAATTGTATTGATTATATTCTGAAAACCTTTTCAATTGACTCAATTATTACACAAACTTATCAGGATTGTTCTAGAAGTACTTAAAAATTAGAATTAATATTTCACCTGATTGAGTTTGCTAAATAAACTCACTTTTTATTTTGTATGATATTTCATAGCATTTTTAGTTACAAAATTAAATAGCTCTAAATCACTAATATCGTAGTGATTGTTACACTTTAGAAGACATCCAAAGTTTAAGATGATGTCTTTTTTAAAGTTTATTATTTGATAATCTTATTCATTTAATCATTGAAATATATGAGTAGACATCCCAACAAAGTGAACTAGACAAATTAAGAGGTAGAAAGTAAATTACAAATTTAATTATTTACGACTTCTAATTATATTAGTAAAATTTTGAAAATATATGCTACAACAAATTGTTAAGCAATTTCAATTAGTACAAACAATAAATACATAGTAATATATTTTTGTTGTTAAAACTATAGTAGCTCTTTTATTGTTTTTTTTTCCTTAATAAAAATAAAATAAATATTAATATTACCTGTATTAGAACCCTAATTGTACTCTTTCGCCTCCGTGTTTTGCTCTTCCCATATAAAGGAATCAAACTTCATCCATAATTAACTTATGATTAATGCAACCATAGCAATAATGTTGTTTTCCCAAGAGATTTTATACAAGAATATTCTACTACTCTGTTGTTTTGTTGATGGACCAATGCCGAATAACAACGATGATAATAATAATAATAATAGTTATAGTAATAGTGGTGAAGATGAATTGCAGGAAGTAGGTAGCAATCGTCCGGCATGTGCTTCGTGTAAGCATCAAAGAAAAAAGTGTATGTCAGGGGACTGTGTTATGTGGCGCCACTTTCCAGCTAGCAAGATGGATGAATTTCTTGGAGTTCACAAGGTTTTTGGTATATCTAATGTTACAAAAAAGATTAAGAGTTTTGATGATGTTGCTCAACAGGATGAATCCATCAAGTCCTTCTTGTGGGAAGCAAAGTTGTGGCAGGTAACTCTACATGCACATTCTGTTAGGTTGTGGAGCCTGATTTATTAATATATATACCCTATCGTCGTGGAAGTTTACTTTCGGAGTGTTACGAAATATTGGTTTCTCTCTTTCTCTCTCTAGATCTTTCATCTCTTTCTCTTGAAAGTTGTTGTGTTCGTGTGTGTGAATTCGATCCTAACATGATTTGAAGTTTACCTTTAATTAAGGTTATGTTATCTATTATTCATCAGAAGACTCAACTTTAACTTGATGATGAATTCAATTCTGAAGTTTTTATTTTGAATTTGAAATTTAGTGTTTTGTTGAAACTTTAGAGGGTTTTTATTATATCTATATATCCAGGTTTAGTGGATTTATATATCACATGTTCACCTAGAATAAAATAATATCTCCAGCTAGAAAACCTCAATATATAAAATAATGTCTCCCGCTAGAAAACCTCAATGTATTAGATGGAGAATTTGTGAGACAGCACCTTCAGATTGAACAGAATTTGTGAGACATAACTATTATGTTAACGCCAAAATAATTTTTAGCGACAATAAATAGATACATTAATACAAAAATACATATTTAATTGTAAATTGTTAATTAATTGCAGCTTCTCGAATGTTTGTCTTTTGTATATTTTTCGAGGTTTGAGCTTCCAAATGACACCTGTGACACCTCTCCATGACAGGAAGATCCAGTTCACGGGCCATTAGGGGAATACAAGAAGTTGGAAAAACAACTTATGAAGGAACAAAGGAACAAACAACTTCAAATAGTTCAATTCCCTCGTGTACCCCAGGTTCCAATAACAACAACATCAGAGAGTACAACTAGCTACGTCCCCCATTTGGCAATAGATCAACATCATAGAGAAAATGGTGCAAATCATAGTCAACAAGACTATAACATGCTGAACTCAAGTGTACCGAATTATGCTAATCATTTCCAATGGCATGGACCACAAGGAGTAGAAACTCAAGGAATTACTAGTAATGGTTCTAATTTGATGAATATTGGTTTTGGCAACGATATGTTTGGATATGGTAATTTACCATATCGACCAATCGAACAAATTCGAAATGGTTATATCCCAATGGTTCATCGTCAAGCTACTTACAATAACGGTGGACATGTTCAATTACATGAACAAAGATTTCCATACAACAATGTTGATTTGGGCCTTGAAAGAAGAAGAAAGGACCAAACTGATCAATTTGTGCATCCAAATTTTAATGGTAGACATGTACGAGGAAGGGGAATTGGGTCAATTGGCCCAATGATTAGACATAGCCCAATTATATCAAATTGTAGTTCTGGTTCTAGTGTTGACTCGATTATTGTTAATGCTACGGGGACAATGGCGAATCATAGTGTTAATGGAAGACATGTCGAAGATGGAAGAAATCAAAGAGCACAAGGTGTTGCAACAGTTCTTCAGGACTTCACTAACTATAACCACAATGATTTACCAGGTAAATCTTTTATAAGTTTCGAGTTATATAGACCATCAAATTATTTTTGCCTGGTCCAATCGATTTTAGATTGGATTGACTCTTGAGCCGATTATTGTCTTTAACTCGTCCAAATTTGATCCTAATTGCCACTTCTAGTAGTAGGTAACATACTTATTTTAAAATTTTAGATTGTACATTTAATTTAAATATAGTTTACCTCTACGTATATTTTGATGACCTGAATGGTGTATAAAAATTTACTCTTTTTTTTCTCAAGTTTTCATTATATATATTTTGATGACCTGATGGTGTATAAAAATTTACTCTTTTTTTTCTGAATTTTTCATCGCCGAATAATACAAGTGCTAATATCAAATTACTAGATTTGAAATTTTCAAGATTATGATGCCTCTAATGTTTTAAACCATAACGTATATCTAATAATCATTTTTTTTGTTCTCTATATTTGAAGGTGAACATAAGCAACGAGATATGGTTAATAGAGATCATTCAACCTCCAAATAGCACATTTTTCACATTATTTCTAAGTTTGTTGCCATATGATATAAGGGGGAAAAGGTGGTAATTACAGATTCCTCCTCCATCATTCATTTGTAAGTTCTCCTAAAAGTCCTATCTCATATTATATTATCCTAAATTTTATCTTTTTCAATATATTTTATTTTCAGGTAAATAAGAATTTTATTTTCAAAGAAAAGTGTATCGTTCAAAAAAAAATAGAAAGAAATTATTCTGACTAGATCAAATATTAGTTAATTTCATTTTGAGACAGCCTTTGAAATATAGATATTAAATTATTCTCTTCATTAACATATCGATACTTTGTTGAAAAACAATTTTATTCCTCTCTTATCATATATGATAATGCAGCCGGTTAAGGATATATTGTTGTTATAGCACTATCTTGCTCAGAACTGTGTATACCAAGTCAAATAATTTTCAAATGTACATGTCTCTTTTTTAAAAGTTAAATATATTTGCACCTACTTTTTGCACAAATAAATGTGTGCACATTAGTTTGGCGACCATGTGTGATGTGTCGTGCCTGTGGGGTTCATAGTTTGGCGCAGTAGTTTGTCGCAGCCAAAGACAGTTTAAAGGAACAACTTCATATATAGCAAATAAAAAATATATATTTGTATGTTATAACAAAATTTGTATAATTGCGTTACATAATAAACATATAACTGTATAATTCGCTGGCCTAAATTGTATAATTCGCTGACCTATTTCGCTGCAATTGTATAATTCGCTCGCCTATTTCACTGCAGTTGTATAATGCGCAATTATATAATTCGCTGACCTATTTTGCTGGAATATGTGTATAAAATTTGCTTTGCATACAATTAAATCGAAGTAAAAGGTTTATATATTGTATAATTATAAGTGTATATATAGGAAGAAGATATATGTTTTTCGCTTGCTTTATACAAAAACAGAAACACAATTTATACACTTCTGTTGTATAAAGCGAGATAATTCGTTGGCGTTTTTCGCTGTAATATTTGTATAAAATTTGCATTTGTATACAATTGAATCGAAGTAAAATATTTTTAAATTGTATAATTAAGTGTATAGCACGAAAATATACATTTTTTACATGTGTATATACAATTTTCTCTCGCTTTATACAAAACAAAAATACAATTTATACACTTCTGTTGCATAAAGCGAGAGAGGCAAGCAGATGGAGAGTGGTGAGCGAGAGTTTTGGAAGAGAGGCGACTGGCAAAGACAAAGGTTTGCTATGAAGCACAATTAAATCAAACAGTAACTACTCCATTTATTTTAGGTTACTAATTTGCTACTATATAGAATTATCCCTTAATAAAATTCTTATCATATAGTATAATATATGAATTGAATACCCATCATTTCAAAAAATTAAACTAGTCATTTGAATGTCTATATCATTATAAAACCATGTGAAAAATTAGATTATTCTTCGTGTAAATTACTCGCTCAGTCTTATTTATCTTTTTAGTCTGATTCACATAATTTTTAAAAGTTTTACATAACATGTTTAAAATCATAAAATTAAAGACATTAATATATATTTACACATCTTTAATTTATGACATATATTTTTTTTTAAAAAATCTTTTTTAAATTAATTTTAAATTAAAATAATAAAATGAAACACATAAATAAAGTAATAATAATTATCATCGTATATTGATGAACAAATGAGTTGATGTTTGATCCTATTCTTAGTCAAGCAAATAGAAGTCTAAATTAGCACTTTTTGTTTTTAATTTATTGATGATTCATGAACCTTGTTTGTTAAATTCAAGACTATATATTACAGTCAATTGTAAAACAAAATGTCTTGGAAAATTAGATCCTTTTATTGGCCCACCAAATAGACCTAGGAAACCCATACGAACCCAGTGAAGTCACATCGATGTGGAGTCTCTAGAACGTCAAATGTGAGTCATCTTGCTCATCCTTTTGTCGAAATTTCTTCTATTGGGTCAAATAAGAAATATGTGCCATTCTCGTTCTTATTAAATAGACATAATATACACTTTTAATTAAATTAATATGTGTCATGTAATGATTTGTACGTAAATATGACTGATTTAAAAATAATATAATAATAATTGTTCAAAATTACATAGTGAATTAATAGATAATTACAAAATAAGTTGTCTTTTTAAAAATCTTGGACAACTTCAATGGTGTCTTTACTTCGTTTTCTCTTTATAAATTTAAAGCAAAAAAATATTTATATGATGTCAATTGACCAAACACATGGATGACCTGGATCTAATTTCTTCGAAGAGCATTATCTCATCTTGTTTATTTGGAGTACTATCTTTTCTTATCTCACTGAATGCCTACAAACTAAGCATAATTTTATTCTTCTGAAGATTAGCTTGCTCATAAAACCCTCGTATCATTTTGAGCTATTTGTAATTGAAAACGATGTTTTCATCACTATTATTTATTTTAAAAAGGCGTTTTTTTCGAGCAATAAATTCTCTTTATTTTAATGGTGGTCAAATTATGTTCAATTTTCTTATCGTACATAACAATTAACTAAACTTTGAAATATCAACGCAAACAAGGGGTAATTAATTAAACCATGTCACAACCCATCAAGACACCAACTATATAATATAAATTGAAAAAGACGTGCACAATTTTTCACTTGTTTCCTTATACTTTCCTTTTTCTCCACGAGATAAATAAAATTCATAAAAAGAGCCCCACGATTAAACGATTACTTTTCTAGTATTCCTTTATGTTAAATACCTCATTAAACTATAACATTTTCCCCCAACAAATTAACCAAAATCCCCTCTAATAAAAGCTATGGTTCCAACTCCTCAAAGTGATTTACCTCTTAATGAGAATGACTCACAAGAGATGGTATTATATGAAGTTCTTAATGAAGCTAATGCTCTAAATATTCCTTATTTACCCCAACGAAATCAATTACTCCCTAGAAATAATATTCTTCGTCCATTACAGTGCATAGGCAAGAAATACAGAGGAGTACGACGTCGTCCGTGGGGGAAATACGCTGCGGAAATTCGCGATTCGGCTAGACATGGTGCGAGAGTATGGCTAGGTACGTTCGAAACTGCTGAAGAAGCTGCGTTAGCTTATGATAGAGCGGCTTTTAGAATGCGAGGTGCTAAGGCACTACTTAATTTTCCATCTGAAATAGTGAACGCCTCTGTTTCAGTAGACAAATTAAGTTTGTGCTCAAATAGTTACACTACGAATAATAATTCAGATTCAAGTTTAAATGAAGTTTCAAGTGGAACTAATGATGTATTTGAATCAAGATGTTAAAACAGAGCTGTGCATGGAGAATTTCTTGGCACTCTAAGCGAATAATGTGTGGACACGTAGAAAATATTTCTATTTATGTAAGAATCAACTGAACTATTAAAATTTCGTTGTTGTATTTATATTATGTGCTTGCCTCTTCTCTTATTTTCCTTATGGAATTGTTTGCAGCGACGCACGCTATAATCTCATGTAAAAAGATTGCTTAGGATACTTTAGTAGTATGTTTATAAGTTGTAATATACACCTTCTATTTTCTATTTTTTTTTTCTTTCTCAAAAAATTCAAACAGACGGAATATTATATGTATATTCAAATCTTTTTTTTCGCGGTTTGATGATAATTTTTTTAAATTACTTTACTCCTGATAAATAAAAGGATTTTTTAAAAATCTGATTTGATAATTATTAAGTACATAAAAATAAGGATATACAAACATATAAGTGATTAAAGTTAGACCAGTTGAATTACATCTTGTTTGTCAATCGACCTGCTCATTTTTATCTAAAAGCAAACATTGAGCAACAAACAGTCATAGTTGAACTGGTTTAATTTTAAAATTATTTTCACTAATTTGTTAGATTACCGAATCAAATCGGTCTTTTATTATAATCTCTGTATCGTAACCGGCCAAGCACCTCACAATTCCAAAGTCTCGTCTGTAATGATAAAAACACCAGATTTATATTAGCTGAGTCCGAAGCTAAAAAGGTAATATTTTTCTTTCAAAAAACATAAATGACATATTAATTTTTTTAACCAAATAAAGCAAAATTATTTTGTGTCCTGACAATTATTAACGCCGTTACTCTAAAAAAATCCGTCTGTGACAACAATTTTGTCCAAAAAAAAATTCTTTTCATACATGGGCAGCATTTTTCTCGATTTCTTTTTATAGAAAAATAAAAATTGCTAGCAGTGATTCTTAAGAAACTAATAAAAATTGCTAACCAAACAGCAATTTTATTTTTAAAAAAATTAGAAAACTGCTGCCAATATTTTATTAAAAAATTCTTTTTTTAAAAAAAAAGAATCTCGGACTTTTTTTAAAAGAAAAAAGTAAAAATCTAAGTGACAGACATGGTTTAAAAAATGGGTTTAAAGCAAATTTCTGCCAACGCAATAATTTTAATTTTAATTTCTGTTTTTTATTTTATTAAAGGCTGTTATATTTGGTTTTCTAGAAATGAAAACGATGCAGTGCATCGATCTTTGATAAAAGAATTTAACACCATCATCAACGTCAGAAGAAAATTACTCTATTTTGTCTTTTAATAAAATAAAATTTTAATATGCCGTTTATATTTTTTGAAAAAAAAATATCACCCTTTTATTTACGAACTCTATATTAGCTATGGTTTTAAAGTTACGAGTTTTTATAGTAACAAAAGTAGTATCTTTAATGATCAATACTATAAAATAATAAACGCATTCATATTTTGCAAAAGGTTTAAATGTAATTTAAATCAATGATATTTTCTGAGTTCATACTTTAAAGGCTAAATCTGTCTATATATAATGGAGAAAAGATAAAATTTGGTGAGAGCACTTTGCATATTGGTCAGCAGTCAAAAGACACACGAGAATTGTCTTGAATTTAAAGAAAGGATTGAGATGGAATATCTGCCTATTGACTTTGTAATTAATTATCTAAATTTGACTCTTGACTCCCCAATGTAACCGCCATATAAAAAAAAATACAATATGGAGTATTATTTTTTAAGAAAAGAGATTAGGCCTCTACTTTTCTTTTTTTTTTTTTTTTACTTAATGGGATTTGAATTCTAATCGATCAGAGATTCACTTTATTTAGTGCGTTTATTTTTAGAATTAAATTTTAATTATTCAAATTTAGTTCATTAAATTTGATTATTTTATTTTCTTCTAATTCTCTTAATAGGTCTGAATACGTTTGAATGAATCAGATATGTAACACCTTTTCATATCATCAGTGAGACTCAAAAATAGAACCCCTATATTAATTCAACTGCATCACAACAACTCATAAAAAATATTTTCTTATTTAATTACATGTTTACCAATTTCCTTTATTCTTACTAACTTAATATACATCTTTTACTTTCATAAATTAATCAATTTATTTGAATTGATAAGCACTTCATGATATAATATTTAGCATAATTTCAGAAAATAAGAAAGTATAATTATTTGATCAATAACAATAACAAATGTCCATTATAAAATAAAATGTTTTCATAAACATTATATTACTATTTTGTTTAAACTATTTTACATTGCATTATATTAGATTCTCAAAGTTTTTGAGTACAAAGAATAGTCATATTAATGATGTAACGTAATATTAAATTCTTAATAAATAAATCACATTACCTTGTTACGATAAGAATGTTGAAAACATTATTTTCTATATAAAAAAAATATTTTACTAAAATGAGGTTTTTATAATATCTTATTTATATAGCGTTCTAATTCATATGTACATTCAGATATTAAAAACAAACAGTTCCAATAATTCAGTGTTCAGATTCAGAGACAACATTTTAATATTCAGATGTTTATTTAGATTTACACATCTAGATTTTAATGCATATCTTAATATTCAGATTCAGATGTCTTAATCTTAATGGAAACAAATGATGCTCAGAGCTTGGTGACAGATTTTCAAGTCAGATTTTTATTTTTCGACGTGTTTGGCAAATATAGAAAATAATTTAAAATTAGTCAAAAATAACTTATAAGTTACGAAGTGTTTCGGAAAGTAAACTTAAAACAAGTCAGAAATTAAAAGTAGGTCTCCCGCTACTTTTAATTTTTTGACTTAAAAGTCATTTAACTTTTACTTTTTAATTTTAACTTAAACCTACTTTTTTAAGTCAATCCAAACGAGCTCTTAATATAAGTTATACTTTTAATATGATAATATCAACATAAATATATAAATATACAATACATTATAAAATAATGGTAACAATAATCCAAACCGAATGTAACAATTGATATCTGTCCTTCAATTTAAATGTATACAAATCAATGTTAAATTTGTTATGTTTAAATAATTCTACATAACATACTACACATAAAATATCATATGAAAATACAAATTTATCGTATAAAACACATATATCTATTTATGTATATATATTTAATATCTATCTCCACTTTTTCTAGACTCCTCACATAATAAAAGAAATTCTAGTATATAAATATATATATAATAAAAGGATATTCTTTATAAAAAGGATAGATCTTTCCAAAATAAAGATAAACTTTTTTTAAAAATGTACTTTATAAACACACCTTGATGACTTTTCGTTTTATAAATAAACTACTCGAGAACATAGAAATCCAATCATAAAAATATTCGTCACACGTTTACTATAAAGAGAAGAAAGAAAATTAATATTGTATATATATACATATATATATAAAGACACCAAGACCAAAATAAGCACGTCAAATTTTTCTAATTATAAACTTCAACGGTCGTCCCATCTAGAAAAACATTATACGTAATCAATGAAGTCTGCAACACTTGCGTTCGATACCTACCAACTTTTACAGAAGTATACGTATATTGTGTTTTTCTTGTCAAGAAATAAAAGTCAAGCCTCTTGACTATATGTAAATTTTAATTGAATTTATAAATATTTTTAACACGAAACATAAATTTATACGTAAAAATAATAATGGTGGACAGAAAAGGGCGTAAGGCATAGATATATGTAACATACATATATATATATTACCACTCCTCTGTTGTATATATTGTATGTAGTTGTCGACTAATGTCTTTTTATGTTTAATAAAAAATGAATATATGATATAATTATTATGCTATTCTTATTTAATAAAATAAATTGAAATAATTATCAATTTTTTTGAAAAGTTTTTTAAAAAATAATTATCATATCAGGATAATATTTCCAAACTAAAGTGACAATTAATTAATTTGGGAAAGTGGGAGTATTAGAATTCAAAAAGTAAACTAAAAGAGGGGCATAGAACCTTAATTACCTCCTCCAGAATTAATCACTCATGAAAAGGAAGTGATATTATAAAATCAAGAAGAGACGTAGATGATTATTCTAGCAGAATATAAATTATCTGTCTGTATCCCTTTATAAAATTGGATTCGACTTCTCTTCGTTACCGCTGATAGTAATGATGTATTTTATACACTTTTGAGCAATAGAATTCGCATTTTATTACTTTAATGGAGTTGTGAGAATAATTCAATCAATCTACGGTGCACTTTAAAATATATGAATGGCTCACATCAAATATTACCACTTAAATATTTAGTGTACTCCTATATCATTTATTTATATATATAAATAAAAATTTATATATATAAATAAAAGAGAACTTTAGACCCGTTTATATAGCGTCATCACATATCAATATTTTTTTTTATTTATTTATTTTTAAAATTAGTTTTTTCTTTTATAAGAAGTTGTGACTTCAATGAATAATTACGACTTTTATAAAAAATTATGACTTTTATGAAAGATTGTGACCTTTTTGAAGGGTTGTAATTTTTTTCAAATAGTTGTGACCTATCCAATAAGGAACAACAAACATTTGTTCATACTACCCTTATTTTTAAATAGAGAGATTTTCTTTCATTCTAAAATAACGAAAACTCTGAACCTCTTTTTTAATTATTCTGCACATTTAAATATTTGTGTACTTTGTTCTTGTTGAGTTTGCTCATTACTACGTATACCAAATACTAACGGGCAATTTTGTTCTACAAAGACAAAAGACAATAATAATCTAAATTTTGCAACTCAATATATTCATGAAACATGAAAGAAAAAGAGGTGGTGATTAAAAGCAAGTGGCACATAATTTTATACAAAATCATGATTCATCCAATAATTAATTCCTATACATATATAATACCCAAGAATTTTAATTTCCCTTACCTTGTATCTCCCTAATTATATTTTGTGTCTAAAACTTATTATTTCTTCTATTACAAAGAGGATAATAAACTATCCAAATAATCACTTCCAAGATCCTCAAACTCTAGGATATCCAAGTCATTAAAAAGATCCTCCTCCATGCTTCTCATAATTTTCTTCTCCATAGGCAATTGATTAATTTCATCCAAATTTTCATACATGTTCCAATCCCTTGATACCCTTTTCCTTGAATTATATTGACTTGATGATGAAAAGGTCCATTCTTTTTCACAAGGACCATTAGATATTCCTATAGCTTGAGCAACCATTTCATGTGGAAAATTAAGATAGGCCTTGGGACCTCTAATTCTCAAAGCCGCCTTGTCATAAGCCATAGCAGCTTCTTCAGCAGTACTAAATGTCCCTAGCCAAACCCTAGCTCCTTTTCTTGATGAATCCCTTATCTCAGCCGCGTATTTTCCCCATGGCCTCCTTCTTACCCCTCTATAATGCACCATCTTCTTCTTCTCCTCCTTCTTCTCAACGTTGACAACATCTTTGCATGTTGATTCGTCGTTTGAATTTTCGTTGTTATGAGAAGGAATAATAATTCCATTGAGAATATCTTCCCAAGTTTCAGCTCCCATTGATATCCATCTTCCTAAGCTTGGTAATCTTTCAAGAATTGGAAGTTGTTCCCAATATTGTTCACAACAATATTCATTTGTCACCTTTTGAGAATTTTGATCATTCTTGGATATGAAGTTTGCCCAAACATTCTCTAGAATCTCTTCACATGCTACTTGATCTTGTTCTTGATTATTATTTTCCACATGATGAGTAGTCATCTTTAAAGAATGTCTCATATGAAAAAATATATATATATTTGTTGAAATTAAATTAACTTGAGGACTATTTATAATATAAGAGATAACACTCTTATCTTATAATGTGCAAGGCTAGCTTCTTGTTTAATAATGACTAGGAATTAAATAACAGCTCAGCAAATGGTTTAATCCAATTGATGGATTGGAAGACAGTAGGATACTTGTATTACAAATTATGACTAAGCTAAATTCAAGGATGTTACTAGAATTTAGACATGAAGAAAGGAGTTCACTTACTGTTTTTAATATTTTCTTGTTGAATGCTTTGATTATGACTAATCATTTTGTGTGTTGTTTGCTGAAAAAGCTATATTTTAATATTTATTTATTGTGAAATTCCCTTTTTTACTAAATGATTAATGAGATAACAAGCAAGTGAAGAATATGAAAAAAATTGTTCAAGATGATTTTTTTTCTCTTTTCGATCGCAAAAAGTCCACATTTAATTTAATTTTCTTGAACTTCTTAGTTAAGGAAGGAATGTTCACATTGAATCTCTAAACTGGTTTTAAAACCCCCCAATAAAACTTTAAAAGAGGTAAAAACTACCGTGTTTATATCAAATCAATAGATGTATGACATGAATTTGTAAATTGCACAATGTTAAAATTATAGTTATTATTATGTATTCTAATTACTTTCATTTAATTAGAGTGGACTGACTCATAGTTATGTCCGTCGCGGATGTGGAAGACCATTCTAACAATAAGATTTTCCCTGTCTCGGGAAAGAATCCTCCGTTCTTTTTCTAGGATTTGAATTTGGTTAAGGACCGAACTATGTTAATATAGTTTTTGATGTAAACATTTTGTGTGAGTAAAATTTTCTTCCTCTCTTAACCTCAAAGAACTAGAGATACGTTTGACATTTGTTTGGGTTGCTGGTTTATCAAGATTTTATTTGTGTATGCAGAAAAAAGCCATTTATTGCGAAATACTCTTCAAAAAATACAAATTAATTGGCGGTTTAGTGGGAAACTAACTATTTAAGTTTATTCCTACTGCCTTTTTTTCCATGGCTTTAAAGGTTTACTGTTCTTTTTCAAACCATTCCTGCTCAATGTACTAGAACTCTAATTATACTTCCTTATTTTTTAAGTTAAATGGTCAAAAACAAATCGATATTATCTTTCGTAAGTTTCACATCTTATTTATTGATTATTCTTTTTCTTTTATTTAAACTATCATATTATTTATGTGTTAAAATATATCTCGAAAGTCGAAACTGATTAGATCAATTATCAATTGTTATATTCTCCTACTTAGATTATTACAATCTACTCAATTAGGTGTGTTTTAGCGCATAGATAATATAAAAAAGAATTATTGAATAGATGATAGTTCAAACTGAGGAAAAGGGTAATTCATATGCATATTTGAATGTTATCTCTTCATTTACAATATTTTGTCACATACCATAAAACTTTTAATTGTATCTACTATCCCTCATTTATTTCTCTAATCTCCGGATATTTTATACTTAGATTTGATTGGCAGATAATGAGAAACAAACACAATTATTTGATTGTTAGGATCTCAATTGACCTGCTGCAAACATTCTTTTTATTCATATCTATACTTGCGAATTGAGTTAAAAGAAAATAAAATAAATTTTATAATTTTATAATTTTAAATTAAAAATATATAAAAGTATAAAAATATCATTTACTTTTAATGTGTGAAATTGAAATTAAAGAGTTATCTTAAAAGGAAAAAAAATATTATTATTTAAAAAAAGTTAAAACAGAGAAAATAATTATCTTTTCAAATATATATTTGATCTCTATGTGTGTAGGTAGAATTTAATGTCCAAAGGTGCATCAATCCTAGATATATATTGAGTGGAGAGTACTCAATATTATCCAATTATAATCATAATTTATTTTATACGAACTCATGCAATGAATGGATTATCCAATACTTCTCCTATTTTCCTATATATGTGGGACTTCGACATTTCATTTCGCCCCCTTATTTTTTTTAAAGAATAATATATAAATATGTCATTTTAATTTAATTTTAAATTATATTTATGTTCTTTAATTTTAAATGTTCATAAATAGACACTTAATATTTATTTAAAAGTTGAATAGTTAAAATTTTTATTTGTGCATTATAAAAATTTGAGATCAAAACTAAAATTTGAAGATAAATTTAAAATTCAATATACGTATTATGTCGTTTGTTTAATTGGTCCTCTTCTTCTTCAAGTTAGTTCAAAAGAAAGATAATGAAACACGGAAAGATAATGAAACACGGGATCTCGAAAACAAGCCACACGCTTCTCCTTGGGAGTTGACACGACAAATATTCATTTTTATTTGTTTAGTATTTTAAAATAATTTTTTATCATCTTTAACATAGCAAGTATATTAATTTTTTTTGGCTATAATTTATCCTCTTGTTAATTACTTAGGTTAAAGTTATTTTTTAAAATTAGAAATTATTTATTAATTAATTTAAATATTATGATAAATATTATTATTAATTATCATAAATGTAAAGTGAAGAGAGAATAAATTCCATACACTTGATGGCAAAGCAAAATTTTGAAAAGATGCTATTGCGGCTGTTAACATTCGATGTATTTGATTGATAAGGAATGTTTTCACTATTACTACTCACTTTTTATATAGCTTTCTTTCGTTAGAACTAGAAATTTTTTTCTCCTTATTTTCTTTTCATGTGTAATTGCTTTACTTGCCAGACGAATGCCATGATTTTGTTATCTTAAATGATTGTTTGTCAATTTTATTAATAATTATATTATTATTTTTATATTTATTGAATATTACATCATTATTTTGGTGTTTATGTAAAAAAAAATTATGTAATTATATAGCGGATACAATTTCTATAGAGGGTGTTTTTGTAAAAAATAAAAATTTTGATATGTAGAATTTGAACTTTTAAAAGCTCCCAAATTATAAGATTTGATCCGAATACTAATTTTATTTTTTACTATTTGAGAATTTGAATTATCTATTAAAAATATTTATCAAATAATGACAAATTGCATGAATAAATACTATTTATCAAAAAAAAAAATCTAATGTTACTTGGATAATCTATAGCCAAACGAGTAATGAGGGGTTGAATATCGCAAAGGTCACAAGATCTATCCTCCTAATTTTACCTATCTGGCCTATTATTTTTTATTTTAGCTAGTCAATTTTTAAATAGTTTCCTATAATAATATATTTTTTTTAAAAAGAGTAAAAGAAAATATTGCTATTCAAAACAGGCATTTAATTTCTTGTATATGTCGTCCACAATGTGCATATTTGATTGAATTCATTCTTGAATTTCCCCCCAAATATAAAAGGATGTTTGAGAATTTTTCATGTAAAGAAGTCGAGCAAAAAATAAAGGAGAAGAGAATTGTAGCAATAATATGATAATATTCTTCGGTCCATTTTTAATTTTTTACTATTTTTATTTTTAAAGTTAAATATGCAAAAAATTGTAATAATGTATACTAGTATTTTTTATATAGTTTTTGAATATTTAAAAAATTTGTTCAAAATATTGAACTAATATAATCTAATTTTTTGACTTTAAAAATTAGTCAAATTAACTTTCGAAAAGCACAACAAGACAAATAAAAGTGGACAGAAAAAATATGATGTAAGAAAAACAACAAATCTATATATATATATATATAAAAGAGGATCTTTAGTTTGCTGATGTGGCATGCCTAAATGATGAGGAAATTTATTTATATACTTTCTCAAATTTTTTCCTATTTTTCCATATTAATGTATTTTAACTAATTAAAGTTTAAAAATAGAAAGACATCATTTACCGTTATAATTGTATCCCTTTAACCGTTTCCTCAAATTAAGCCCATAATAATTGCATACGTCGTTTGGCATTCTGAATTCAAAATTAATGTCTCCTCAGCCGCCTCTGTAAAGCTATACGCAGAAGTCCCATCACATCATCCTCTTTGCGAGCAAAAACTCCCATCTCCAGGTATACCTCAAAACTTATCCTATTTTTGTTTCCTTTTTTCTGGTTGTAATTTCAACCTTTTCTTCCTTCTATGCTACTGTAATTTGATCATGAATTATCTAGGCATTGGAACAAAAATGATTTGCTAATATTACTCTGATAAAATTATATTCTTTTTCTTAGAAATAGGGCAAAAGTTCACAATGTTTTGCCAAGTTCTTTCTATCGGAAGTGTGTCAGTTTTTATGGAATATTTTTTATATTCGCACTGAAGCCCAGTTATATATGGACTCATACATAATAAGGCTCCATTGGTACGGAAGTACTCTACCAAAGATTTGAACCAAGACCTCTGTTTACAAGGAAAGCAATCCCGTCCACAACATCGCATCTTGCTTATAAGTTTTTGCAGTGAGTATATGTAAATATATGTGTATAGTCATTTTTCCTTTTACAAAATACATAGTAATATTTTAGTACAAGGATTGTAGTTTATTACTAAATTGATATTGTAATGTCAAATTTGGAACTAATGAAGCCAAAGTTTATATCAACTCCGTCTAACAGAGTATCTTTGAGAAGAAAAAGTTAAATCACGTGAAGCACAAGATTGTTGATGCTGAGCACTAGGAAGAGATAACTTCTTGATTTGATTGATGATATAGATTTTATACAAAGAGAACTAAGGTTGAGCATGCTCAGTTGCCCATGGATGAAATAAGGATGCTTCTGGAAGTGGTCAAATATCAGCAATAGTATCGCAATGTAACAGGAAAGGAGAAAAAGAACGACGACAAGTTTCAAAAGACTACCATTAACCCTTTGAATCTTCACAAGAACATAGTTGGGATGGTGAAAATCATAATTCATAATCCTCGGGGAAGAAATTTGCTTCACCTGAGAAAGAGCAAACAAACGGATTGAACTCTTTTTTAGGTGAACTCAATTTTGTTTGTCCTAAATTAGATGTTTGCTATTTTATTTTTGACAGAGAAATAATTTATCTTATTGTTACTAGCTTCAAATGTAATCTTTGAGAGTAGTTCCTCTTCATGTTCTGGAGTGGGCGTATTTGTGTATTAATCTATATCTATAACAAAAAAGGTGATGTAGTACTGGCCGTGTTTATCTTATTTATAATAATTTTAAAATTGCCTAGATAATTACTCAATTAAATGAGAAACTTCCATTTCCTAATTAAATCGCAAAAGGCTATTCGATAACTCACGTCAATTCATGCTTTAATAACCAATGAGAGTGAATCTGCATATAAATTGTGGCAAAGAGTGTTTCTAACGTTAAATCACAAAGGAAAAGTAACAAACAATTCAAGATTGTGATATTTAAGGCTCTCTTCTATGCAATTGTATGATTCCAATAATTGAAATATATACATATATATATATATAATACTTTTTGTCATTTTTAGTTGTTATGTTGTGTTTTTTAAAAGTCAAATTAATAAATTTTAAATTTAAATTAAATTACATTTGTTTGATATTTTAAACAAAAAATTCAGATATTCAAAAACTATACGGAAAGTACTATACATAGCAATTGTTTGCATAGCAATATGATGAAAAAATATATTGTAAAATGTTAGTCAAAATTTTTATAGATTGACTCTAAAAATGACAAGTATGACAAATTTTGATAGTGGACGAAGAGAGTCTATATAGTCAATTTCAAGCTTATGAGTTTCAAATTTTGATTCTTTTATATTATTGGATTTTAATTAAATCAATAATTTGTAGAGTTGATAGATTTATTAAGATACATATAAAGTTTGGATTGAAGTTACTCAATTCACTCAAACTTAAATGAAAGTTTAGCTTAGTTCCTGAATACAGCTGAAGAAATTTTACTGGACAGAAATTTTTTATTTTTTTAGCATTTGCTAGCTCTTTTATTGAACTTTATTTACCAATTGTATCGACATAGTGCATAGAAACAAATTAATTAGGAGTATATAGGTTTCCGCATAGTGCTTCTGTTAGTAGTCTCTATTGAAAATGTCTATTGATTAGAGTAGCGGTGGCTTCAAGATTTTAAGGTAAAGTTTAATGGGTGCTCGAGCATTTGGAAAGGTCAACATAATTTCGTCACTTAATTATATATGGTGCTTTAAAATAGATTATTATTGCAAAATTTATTAAAATTTACTTTTGCATATGATAATTATTATTATTATTATTATTATTTAAAAAAAAGTGTAGCTCAATCTATAGATTTTTGTACAAAAAATCTACTATTATCATTCATTTATACATAACACAATTAAATAATAGTTGAAGATGGCTATTAGTTTTTTAGTGCATTTATCATGTTTGTTGAATGCCTTGAATCGGACCCGCTATAAACAGAAAGGACGGGGTCTCGCTGCCCGATCAGCGAGTCGGGGGGTCCAGGGGGGCGACGCGCCCCCTGGCCTGGGGTCGGAGACGCCCCGGCCCGACGGTATACAATGTTGTTGTATTGGGCCCTTAATTTTCTGTCAATTCTGTATGTTGGGCCCAAGCCTGTTAGGGCGTAGCTTAGCACTATATATAGACGCTATGGCAAACCCTATATTTTGTAATTCTGTTTTTGTCTCTCCATAATAAAACTGCTCCCTCTCTTCCCGTGGACGTAGCCAATTTATTGGTGAACCACGTAAATCTGTTGTCTTGTTTTTCGCGTTTATATATTTTCTCGTATTATCTCAAATTCCGCACAATAATGTTAATTATGTGCTTCCGTTGCTTTTCCTGACGTTACTTTTTCTCATGTCTTTTTATACTCATGCCGTAGGATATAATAGTGGTGGTTAGTTAGATAACAGAGAAATTTTGAGATTAATTATAATGATATTAATTTTTATTGACAGTTTTATATGTTATATCAAACGTATTTTGATTTAAATGTCTTACGCTGTGACATTTCAACGGGCATATTTCCAATTCCATAGTATCATCGGACTTTATGTTATATATGGGTACTGTTTCGACAATTTACAAGGAGTTATTACCAACAACTTTGGCTTAGAAAGATTAATTAAGAAGGTTCTCAATTAACCTCATGCCACATGCATCTTTGAATTTCAATGTTACGTTTTGCTTGATTTTCACTAGCCAACAAAAATATAGCACAAGATATTTCAATGAAAGACTATACAAAATATTTTATAACTTTTTTACCTGTTCACATGCTTGAGAACAAGAGGGGATACATTTTAAAATTACGTGTGTCATCATGTGATAGAAAATATGATGAAGGAAGAAATTTTCAAGGTTTTATGGGTCTCCTTATAACTTATAAGGCTTGACCAATTTTTTCTTTTAAAAAAATTAATCTTTTAAGTTAAATTTAATTTAATATGATATTATAATTGAATTCCATGTGAACATTCAGAAAATTAAACTATTGTAAAAGTAAAAATATGATCGATCTATGAATATGATATAAAAAATGAATGGAAAGACCTAATTTAATAAAATAAGTATATTTTTACAAGTAGGCGTGCAACTAAAAGTTAGAACTATGCAATAAATTCTAAAGAAAAAGGAAAAACAAGTACATATATACATATGTTAAATAATACACAAAGGAAGACTATGATTTAATCTAGACACGAGTAGATCAATTGTTCTTCGAAATCTATCAACACTTTCAAGGGATGGAAAGTTATAAGGATAGTAACTGCTAATAATAAATTAGATTAAAACATAAAATTTTATTAGTTTATGTTTGTGATTAAAATATTATTACTTAAGTCTTCTAAAAGAACTACTTTAACAATAATTATTTCCGCGCGAAGCACAGTTCAATTCACAAGTAATAATATAAGTTAGGAAAACTTATTGAGAAGGAAAACTAGACGCGACCTTTATATTTTTCTATCTAGAAACATGTCCATAAAAAACTTCAAATACACATGTTATGTATAATCATATTTCTCCGATACAAATTCAAAAGGTTAAATTCACAAATATCAGTTTTATTACATGTCAAATCTCTTTAATTGTAATACATCTACTAGCTAAGTTTTTCTCGAAAGAACCAATAATGGACTTGACTATAACCCATTGTATATGCAATTAAGTTTAGACTTTTTTAACATAAAGTTAATTAGACATCAATGGTAAAAAAAAATAAGGTCCATTGCAATTACTGCACCTACACAAAATAAGTATATATTACACACACAATTCCACTCAAAGTCCAATTTGTGTCACCTCTTCAATTTGTCTAAATGAAATGTTCTTGTCATGTCATGTTTCTTCGATATTCTCCAGTGTTGCTGTTCCTTATTTTCATCATCAGTAGTAACATTAAAGGTGAAACTGGAACATTAACAAAAAAGAATGTCCTAATTAGGCCCTTCAATAATACCATTTCAGCTATCTTTGTCTTTGGAGACTCCACAGTTGACCCTGGCAACAACAACTGCAGACCCACTGTTACAAAGAGCAATTTTCCTCCCTATGGAAGGGACTTTGTCAACCACATTCCCACAGGAAGATTCACCAATGGCCGCCTCGTCACCGATATGACGGGTACATATGTTCTATCCCGAATTATGTAATATTTGATTACATATTATTGTGCCTGTAAGTTAATCTTGTAATTGAGAAGTCGTAAATAAGATTTTTTAAGCTATATAAGTATGACATATTCTATTTTAAGTGTGACACATAAAATGTTTACAAGGGTCACAAGAAAGAACATATAAACAAAAATGTTGGTCTTTTTTTTTTCTTACCATGTTGTTTTTGTTGTTTGGAACAGCTTCATATATAGGACTCAAAGAATTTGTACCACCATATTTGGATCCAATACTTAGCTTGGAGGAGCTGATGACTGGCGTTAGTTTCGCCTCCGGTGGCTCTGGCTTAGACCCTCTCACCGCTCAAATAAGCGTATCTCTCTCAGATGAACTTTTTTATTATCGTAATTTACTTAACTTATGTATATCGATCGTATTAAGAATTCTACGATATAATATTGATTCATATCAATTATTGCACTAATTCAGATAATCAACTGATAATTATTCGATCGGTCTATAGAAGTTAAAATCATTGGAACTTAAATTTATGATCTGATTTAAATTTATAACAGGGGTAATCAAAATTGTGCATAATAACAAGACAATTTACAACTAGTATAAATTAATTATTGCAAAATACACACCTTATGCACCGGTTTTTTTTCTTAAGCAAATTGCTCTATCACACATTTTAAATAAAATTTTTATTAGAGCTGTATTTTTAATAAAAATTACCTTAGTAATAGGGTAGAAGACTAGTATGGGAAAAAATTCAATAAAATTTTCTTCGTTTACTAAAATGATCACGTTAAATAAAATATCTATTTTTAGTATAAAAAACGAGCAAAAAAAATAGATTTTAAGTAGCTTTTGAGTGAGGTCAATTAAATACAACAATAAATATAAATGTAAAAGATCAGGTTTAATTCATATTAGTTCTTGCTTTTTATTTAACATTAATGAGTGTAGTAGAAAACAATAATATGGTTTTACTATATATGTTCCAGGCGTTACAATTTTGAATGTAAACTTTAGCAATTAATATAATTAAGCTGTTCTTTTTCCTACAAGTACTAATTTTAAACACATGGCAGGAGTTATGTTGCATACTGACAAGAGCTAGAAATTTAAATAACTACGATTCATAAAAAAGAATTCAACGATAAATAAAATAATTCTCAAAATTTGTTTTATTATTTAAGATTTTCATTAGTCCATAAATTTATATTGACAAATTTATATATATATTTGTGGCAGGGCGTAATTCCATTGGAACAGCAGCTAGAATATTTTAAAGAGTACAAAATAAGAGTTGAAAATGAGATTGGGGAAGAAAAAACAAAATTGTTAATAAGTAAAGCAATGTTCCTTATAAGTGCTGGCACAAATGATTTTGTTATCAATTATTTTAACACCCACTTGAGAAGACATTCTAACACACTCCTTGACTACCAGCAGTTTTTGCTACAACTAACGCAACAATTTCTCAAGGTAATGTCTCTTTCGAACTAATTTTTTAAAATAGATTATGTTGTATATGTACTCACTACATGAAAAATATATTTTAACAATCGAATTACTTAAAAATCATTTTTTATAACAAGTGTTAACTTATGATAAATAGAAACAGTCATTAGTCTGTTACATATTTATGTGTTCAGATTCTCAACTGAAACATATTATGATTTTAGTGTCTAAATAAAATTTACTAAAATTTAATTTAAGGATCTTAGAATGTGTTCCTCTCGATATTATATCAATTTATTATGATGCATCATATCGTTGTGTTCATTAAATTGATTTAGGATTTAATGACTGAGGGAGCTCGAGTCATCGGAATAGTAGGGTTACCGCCGATGGGGTGTTTACCGGTGGTGATCACCATGAAAACAGCCGGCAGCCCATTGCAACCACGTCAATGTATTGATTCATATTCCGAAGTAGGAAAAGAGTATAATCAGCTTCTCCAAAATATGTTAAAAAATATGAATACTTATGACACAAAAATAATATATGCTGATATATACAGTCCTTTATATGACATGGTACAAAATCCCAACAAGTATGGTGAGTGACCAAAATTTAATTCTTTTCTTTTTTTGTTTAAGTAAATTATTTTTTATTGATTAATTAATAAATGTATGTATCATATTATTTTTTTTATAGGTTTTAATAACGTCTACTCTGGTTGTTGTGGAACTGGACTTTTCGAGCTTGCACTTTTATGCAATCCAAATTCACTTGTTTGCATAAATGCTTCGGAATATATTTTCTGGGACGCAGTCCATCCAACTCAAGCTACGTATTATAATTTGTTCAATTCCTTGCGTCCCACCGTTGATGTTATGCTTAAATTATAATTAAAAGTATATTGTTGTGGGGGTTGGGGTAGATGTGTTTGATGATCAATTGGATATTGTTGTTTATGAAATATTTTCTCTTGGATTTAAGTAAGGTGTGAATTGAAATTTTGATTTACTCCTCTGAATAAATGATTTCATGATAAGATGATTATTATGGAGGCGGTAGAGGCGTATAAAAGCAAACCGAATATCAAATTAAATTGTAAATCGAGTTAAATTGGAAAAAAAAACTTGATGTTTGGTTTGACTTGGTTTAGTATTGAAAAAAATTCTGACTATATTTGGGTTGATTTGATTTAAACTTAGAAAAAATCAAAACCTGAGACCAAATCAACCCAACATTATATTGACAATTTTAAAATTTTATTTTATACATAAATATTTACTTTGATACAATCTTTAAATATTTCTATCTTTTAATATATTATTACAAGTTTAAAACTTAAAATTCTAAATGGTCAAATAAAAGATTATAATCCATAAATGTTAGTAAATATAATAAGCTTAAATCAAAATCAAATTAAGACTAATGAACGAGCCACATAAGTAAAAACAATAAAAAGTTCACATTTTAAAAAAACTGATAATAGAAGGAAACACACGTTCGATGCTAATCTGGAATAGTTGAGGCACAAAGCATAGAGGAAAAGATGAATACAAACTATTGGTAGGAAACAATTGTAACAATAATTAACAAAATGATTAAAAGGAAAAAAGATGATTATTAGTCTAGTAAATCAACATTAATAGCTTTAAGAGCTTCATTAGCCATAATCTTATGCATTTTCTCAGAAGGATGAACAGCATCCCAGAACACAAACTTTGTTCGATCACCACAAGTTTTCAACCCCTTACAACTCTCTCCGTATTCTACTGTTCCTGTCCCACAACACCCCTTACTTGTCTCTGTAAAACCTGTTCCATTATGTATATAATTCATTAGCAACATATATAATATCCATATGAAAAAAGAAATATATTTATATTTTTTTTGTTTATTTATCAAATATCATAATATATATGAGATAATAATGACCGCAACTTATTTTTTTTGGGATACAAAGAGTATATAGTGACGAACGGATGGATTAAGCTGAATTTAGACAGGATAAGATGAGTTGAGTTAATAAATTGGTGCATTATCGATCCATTTAAAATTTACGTGAGTGGGTCAACACACTCAATCCTTATACTATGTTTCAATTGTTTATTTGTTCTTTCATAATCTTTAGTATCTAGTAAAAATGATTTTATGATATATATTGTCACCTCTGACTAAGAACAATAAACCTAGATTTCTTACTGAATTTTTGGGGATTTTGGACAGCTTCCAGAATGATGCTATAAATATCAATGTAGGCAACTTTAATTCCAAATAATCTTTTAAGTGCTTGCAATTCTCTTTTGATTTTGAGATTGAAAGTAAAAGCAACTTTGTTTAAATCATCATCGCATTTGGTTTCATCATCTCGAATGGTTCTAATAAGTGGTTCACACCCAAGAGGAGGAACTCCGACCACTGCCAATCTTCTGGCTCCTCGACTATGAATTATCTGTAGAAAATAGCAAAATTAACTGTCAATTTATATAACTTAAATTTGTAAATATTAAGGCATTATAAATTTGTAATAGTAAGTCATGTGTAGAGTAACTATTGAAATTTTTCTAAGGGGGGCGAATATACTTAATTAGGTTCAATAAACAAACTACATGTTGATTTTATTTTCACCGTATGTTATGTTTTTGGAAATTTCAGTTGAAATTCTAACAATAGGGTGGATATACTAAATTATATTTTTGTAAAAGTTTAGTTAAAAAATGAATTGAAAGGGCAAGTACCGTAAATATAATTTCCAAGAGTGTTAACACAACTCTTTTTCTATGCCTTACGTACTTACCCCACGCTTTGAATCTTTAGTGGGACTAGGCAGCTGGAACAGGTAATGTATGTACGTACAAGTCATTTTAATTCCACCAACCAAACTTTGTTGAATTTAATTGTTCCCTCCGTTTTAAAAAGATTGACCTAGTTTAATTTGGAACGGAGTTTTAAAAAAGAAAGAAAGATTTTTTTATCTTGTGATTCTAAATTAAAGTTATGTCAAATATACCAAAATATCATTTATTCTTGTGGTCCTAAAGATGTTGCGTAGAAAGTTATAGTTAAAGTGTTGCCAAAAAAGAAAAAAAGATCATTCTTTTTGAAATAAAATAAAAAGAAATAAGAACATTCTTTTTTAAACGGAGGGAGTATATCATTACTTCAAAATAGAATATCAACAAGTTTGGTTGCATATAATTGAATTGGTTTTGGATCCTACCCCAACAATGGTGGATCGTTTTACTAAAAAACATATAATCTAGAAAAGGGGAAATAATGCATGTAATCACATCAATGAAATATCTAAATTTTGAAAGATCGAATTATAAATTACTTTATACTTAAATTGATGAACAAATAATAGTATCTGAGTTGAAATAAAGTATCGGACAAAACAAATAATAGTATCTGAATTGAAATAACATCGATTAAAAAAAAAGTGTGAGGGGGTTACCTTGACGTGAGTAAACAGGGAACGGATCAAGAAGTTCTGATACTGTTCCACTGTGTATTGCATGGAACGTATAACTTCCAGAAAGTAATTTTGTAGGAAGTCATTAGTGCCCATGCTTAATATATATAGTGCATTTTTCATAGTTTCTCTTGCTTTATCAACTCCCACCATTTTACTCAAGTGGATTTCATAGTGCCTCAGATACTCTCTTTGCTTCGCTAGTGTCATTGCATTCTGATTTTTCAGAAGAAAAAAAGAAGGCCAAAAAGATAAGGAAAAATGAACTTTCAAAAAAAAATAAAAATTGGAGGTAGGTGTAGGGGATCCCTCGGTGAGAAATTGACCAATTGAAATATTAAGACTTCTCAAATAAACTTTAAGATTAAAGTCACTAATAGAGCAAAAAAGGTGAAAGCTAGCTCGTACCAAGATATTAAAAGATTATTAACATACCGAGAAATTGGCGGTGAGATCATCATAACCAGAGCCAGCTGAAGCAAAACTAATACCGTGTAGCATATCCACCTTGTTTATTTGTGGGTCTAGAAACGCTCTGGTCATATTTACGTAACCAAGTGCCTCCACTGCAAAACCATTATTTTACTTCAGAGACTCTTTTTGTTCAACTGATTAATATATTTAGACAGGTAGCTAGTTATAATTTAAAAAGGTCCAAATATACTGACTTTCATATACTAATAAAATCAGTTTTTACTTTTTTAACGGTTAAAAAAATTGTTAGTGGAGAATAATATATTTGAGATTGAAAAATAATTAGTAAAGATTTTACATGGATCAAAAAGGTAAATTAATATTGTATTGTCAAGTTAAACAAAGTGGAGTCACATTATTGTTCATGAGTGAAGCATAACAATCACAAAAAACAACAAATAGGGTGATCTAGTATATCACTGTTTTACAAATTTGTAGGAAAAATAGAAGAAGAAACAAAATTAATTCACTACCAAAAAATAAAAATAAAAATTAACTACGAAATTTATCGTGAAGAGATGGAATAGTATAGCAACAAGATTAAGTAATTATTACCAATAAAATCTGTGGCAAGTTTTCCATTAGAGAACCTGCCAGTAGGTTGAGAGTTAAGGTCCATCCCATAAGGCAAGTAATTAGCCTTGTTTATTGTAGAAAGATGGTTGTTGTTTCCAGGATCTACACTTGAATCTCCAAACACCAACAAACATGTTACATTGTTTTTGGCTGCCAATTTCCTCAACACAGCCACTTCAATGCCTTGTACTACACCATTATGATCATGTAACGCCACCAGACCCAAAAACAGGATAATCAGAAGCCTCATCAGCATTTTCACACACTTGATTCAACCATGGAGTACGTAAAATATGTAAGTTGTGTAGGGAAGAAAAGTGAACTACCTATACCCGTCCTTAAATAGAGTTTTAAAAAACTTAAATATTGTTAGGTCGATTGATTAATTAGCTGGCATTAGACGTTTGTATGATTCATATGGCAAAATAACAGGCTCACATACATGAGCAATATGCTAATTTCGGATATTTCCGTTCAATTTCACACGCTAAGGAAGATTGACTTTATAACATTATGGTTTGCATGTAATATTACAAACTTTTATTTTTTAAATGAAAAATTTCATAATTACTTTGACTCATATTATATGCCCCTTGAAATCTCAATATGATTAGAGGTGTATTTTGTTAAAGTACCTTATTAATGATATTTTGCAACTCTAAATTTGACTACTGATACTATTTTATGTAGTTGCTTAATAGTAAGCGGTAGTATGAAAATAAAACTTTTTAAATTTTGTTAAAATTGACAAGTACTTCGATTCCTCCGTCCCATATTAGCTGTCTACTTTATCCTTTACACAACCCTTAGGAAATAATAAATATAAAAAAAACATAATTTACCCCTTAAGATTTATATTTAAAAAACTTCATGAACTTGTTTCCAATTTTGAAAAGAATTATTTTAGTAAGAATAAAAGAGTAGTCAATTCTATCTTAATTTTTTAAATTGACAAATAAAATGAGACAATTAATTTTAATAATATTACTTAAAAATAAAACAAAAAAGAATATATCTAACACGAATGACAAGTAAATATGAACGAATAGAACACACCGACGCTCTTCTCTTCTGCCAAAACAGAAATGACAGCAAAGTAAAAGGCTTTTTATCCGTAATTAGTTGGGTAAAAGCCCTTTGATTTCAAAACAATTGTCATGTGACAATTAATAAGCGGTGGTACATGTCATAAATTTTTCAGCCAACCTTGAACAAGATTAATGGCCCAGCTGGTCTTTCAATATGGCTCATAGCGTGTCTACTACAACAAATAACTATATAATTGGTCATAGTGGAAGCAAATAATTCAAAATTTATTAAAATTTGTGATTACAGATATTTATTAAAATTTGTGATTACAGATTTATCATTGACTATTAACAAAAATCACCAAAGTCATGCAAGTAGTTGTAACTTGTAACGCTTAGCTAACATTATCTGTCCATTCGCTTATTAATGCAACACAAATAATTTGCCTTGTGTTAAAAATCTCGAAACGTATTACATTTGAGCCGTCCTACTAATTTTGGTATTCATTGTTATTATAATATATTCTCATTTTTTTCTTTAAAACATTTTTGACAACCTAAATTAGCAAAAATTCAAAATCAAAACCATAAAATCAGCGTCACCAATCATCATATCATGTTAATGAAGAATACTTAAAATGGCAGTTCAGATAATACTTATGAAATACCAAAATTCTAAAACTACTTTAGTTTGTTAATTGTAGCAATTCGTTTACGCATGGTAACTTACAAGTGTATTGTTGGGTTTTAAAACTTGTAGATGAAAATGAAAAGTTGTGACTTAATAAAAAATTGTGTTTTTTATGAGGAGATGTGACTTATATGAAAAATTGTGTTTATGAAAGATTGTGAACTTTTTGAAAAATTATGACTTTTTTAAAGGTTTTGTGAATTTTTCGATAAGTCACGTAAGAATCTTTCATACTACTCTTTGTTGTCTATAAATAAATAGAAGAATTTCCTCTATTTTTTTAAAAAAAAAATCAAATTTATGGATTACTATTATTACTAAATCTAGTATTATAAGTGTACTTTACTGTCGACGAGTGATTCACTGACACCGGTTATAGGTACCGATACGCAGGTGAATAAGATAATTTATCACAGGAAAATTTATTTCATTAACCTCGAATACTTAAGGGGAATAAACACCTTAAGAGGACAATTCGCATTCAATGGCTCGATTTTTTTCTTTGAGAAAAATATTTTGTATATTGTTTCTAATCTATTTGTTATTCTATTTTCTCTATATAGGAATACAAGATGAACATGTATTTTATTGGGATTGCTCCATCTTTACTCAGAAATATCTTATTCATATTCTTGATATGGAGAAAATTATGTTACGAGCGTTAACTCCGAATGAGTCTATAAATTTGAAATTAATCAAGACTTTAATGCGAACTCCGAATTGAATAAGAAACAAAAAAGAAGTGTATTTTTAATAGATTAGGCAATTTATTAGAAGCTTGAAAAAGTAGGTATAGATATTTCATACTTTTTCACTTTAAAGTTGACAATTGGTGTTAGCGTCCATTACTTTGGGTAAACAGAGTGGGTCAGCTAGGACTAGTTTAGTACGTTTCTTACTACAATCAAACATAAATGAAGTATCACGGTGTCCGCAAGCATGGGTGCACTTCGGTCGACTCAACAACATTTTGAAAGTTTAAAGCGAATCTTCAGAAAGGGGTCTAATATATATAATTTTTATCATATGTATTTTTATTTAAAATTTACTTTTCTAGCTATTTTAGATGTGGATTATTATGCACTGTTTTATAATCAATTTGTTTTAATAATTTCTTTTCAAATGATAATATAACTAATTCATTCGATCTCTGTTAATATATTGTTAATCTTCAAGAAGATTTAATCAATTTCAATTTCAAAAAACTTCTTTCGGACGATTACAAGAACTGTTAACATTATTCTATAAGTAATATGTGTATTTGGAACAGAATCAAGTCTTTTTATTTTATTGAGTATTCACTATGTCATTATCTTCTACTTGTATTATTTTTCTTAACACTTTTAATTCAAAAATTTAATCTAAAACATCAATATTGAAATAACTATTACGTGTCAAATAAAGTTCAAGGTTAAGACAATATTTTCTAAATTCTCATCATCTAGTGATCTCAATATTTTACTACTAAATAAGAAATCAAAAAAAAAATCATATACTTTAATTGGTTCAACTCTATTTTGAAGTGAAAAAATAGTTTGATCTACTCTACATAAATAAAACAATCATCTCTTAAAAATTCTTCAAATGCCTTTGTGATTTCGCTATCCATATTTTTATCAAATTATTTCTTACAAAATTCAGATATATTTTCATTTCATATGCAATTTACTTGTAGAAATCATAACACTCATAGTACATATATTTTTTTTTCAAAAAAGAAATATATATGAGTAATTGTTTTAAAAATGCCCCTCCCCCCCCCCCCCAAATAAATAAATAAACAAATATGGGCCCAAGCGGTGACTTTAGAGGCCGAGGGCAGAGGCGGATCTAGAATTTGAATGTCTTGGTTGTCACATTGTTCAAGTAAGATAAGCAGGTCGGTTGCCTTAATTTCGAGTTACAATCAAGTTATTTATCTTTTTTCGATCTATATAGACAAATCGATCAAACATGCATGTTAATAATATTTTCTTTTAGATATTATGAGATTAGAGCTAAGTAACAATTCAATTTTTATTTCTTTTTAGAAATTAGTGGCCTTATTCGCTGAAATTTTGAGGAAAAAAGAGTTTTTCACACTAAAATTTGAGCTTGAATAAACTATCTAATAGTGTTGACTCCATATATTCATATTCCATTGTCTTGATGTGTTGTTGCAAAATATAATAAAAGAGAATATAGTTTCAATACAGTCGTTTTATTTAGCAATAATGTTGGTGAAGATCGAAATCAAATTAAAAGAACTCTAATAAAAATATTCTTCATTTTTAAAACTTATATTTTTAAAAATTACTATTTAAATATATTCTTAATAACATTTATATCACGTTCACAATTTAATTGATAAAATAAACACGCAACACACATATCAAGAGATTAATAATTAGTAAAATAGAAAGTAAAAGAACTTATAATTAATTATGATGAATAGGATTAACAAAAAATACTTGTAAATAAATAAGAATGAGTGAAAAGGGAAAAAAAACTCACACATTAATAAAATTAAAAAAAAAAGGACAAAACAAAAGGGAAAAAAAGGGAAGAAAGAAAATGCTGCTAACAAGTTTCAAATCGATACTGACTGTGTGACAGATTATCTACTTTGCCAATTGAACTATTGATTATTTTATTTAGTCTGTGACAAAAAAAATATATATTCATTTTCTTAAATATATATATATATATAAACAAAAAAATTCAAGATCAATGAATATCGTGACACCCCATAGACACTCATAGATCCGCTCCTGCCTAGACGGCCTGAACTCGAGTACTACATGTTACATACTTCTATCAATATTAGTGCTCAATAATTTTGTCCACCAATTGATACTTGAATAAAAGGAAATTACACCCCAAGTGCTTTGAATTATTTGATTATGCCAACTCTAAGGTGCAAGAATTGGAGTTTTTAGTGTATGAGGCATTAACTTACGTGTCTACATAGGCACACCTTTCTCGTTCATCAAGCTAAGACATCGAGGGGGCGTTTGAGGATATGTTATTTATGTATAAAATATTGTATTAGTTTTATAATGTTTGGTAAAAAAAAAATATTAGGTTGAAAAGTCAACATGATTTTATACTATGTTTGGTTGCATTTTTGTAATCCTACATAATTAATACCAACATAATTAAAGAGAAAATTTATGTATAAAGTTATGCAGGGTAATAAGTTATGTGGATATTAGTTATACATGTATTAAAGTGATAAATTACATATTTACTCTATTAATTTATTTTATTATTTTTAATTAAAAACTTTATTGTTTTCCTATATATAGGTTTGTTGTTTTTATTTCTTTTTTATATTTAGACCATTTTTATTTCTTTTAATTTATTTTATTTTTTTCAATTGAAAACTCTATTTTTTCCTATCAACATGTGTTGTTTTTATTTTTTATTATATATAGATTAGTTTCATATCTTTTTATATACTTACCATTTTGATTGATTTATGCAAATATAAATATTTTTTAATATTAGAACTTGATTGTATATTTTTCAACGGTACATATGCTAATTAAATTAGCATTATATATTACTCAATATATTTTACATTTTATTAGCACGTATTATTATTTTGTAAATAATATATATAAATAATTTACAATAATTTTAATATTAAATAGTTAATAATTCATGTATTGTAATCTTTACGTAACTAAATAATATCTACATAACTAATATCCACATAGCTAATATCCGCATAAATAAACCCAACATAACTAAACCCTGCATAACTAAACCCTCCATAACTAATACCCACATAACTCTAATCAGTAACCAAACAACCCCTAAAGGGTCGTTTGGTTACTGCATAAGAGACATTTATTTATGTATAAAACAATGTATTAAGTTATATTATGTTTGGTAGAAATTTTTGGTTTAGGTAGAAAAGTCAACATAACTTATACCATGTTTGGTTGTGTTTTTTGTAATCTTACATAATTATACCAACATATCTTATGAGAAAATCTATGTATAAAGTTATGAAGGGTAGATGGTGAAATAAGTTATGTGGATATTAGTTATACATGTATTAAAGTGATAAATTACATATTTACTGTATTAATTTATTTTATTGTTTTTAATTTAAAACTTTGTTGTTTTTCTGTATATAAGTTTGTTGTTTTATTTCTTTTTTATATTTAGACCATTTTTATTTCTTTTATTTTTTTTAATTGGAAACTTTATTGTTTCCTATCAACACGTGTTGTTTTTATTTCTTCTTATATATAGATTATTTTCATTTTTTTATATACTTACCGTTTTGATTGATTTATGCAAATGTAAATATTCTTTTAATATTAGAAATTAATTGTATATTTTTTAACGGTACATATGCTAATCAAATATTAGCATTATACAGTTATTCAATATATTTCACATTTTATTAACATGTATTATTATTTTGTGAGTAATATATATATTAATAATTTACAATAAGTTTAATATTCAATAGTTAATAATTCATGTATTGTAATCTCTAAATCCTCCATAACTAATACCTACATAACTAAACCTTGCATAACTAATAATACCTGCATAACTAATACCTATATAACTAAACCTTGCATAACTCTAACTAGTAACCAAACATCGCTAACTAAATAAATTGAGATCTTTTTAAGCCTGAGAAAATGGACAATAAAGAGTATGATTAATTTACATTTGGAAAATGGAATGATCAACATATTGGGATTTTAGTGCAAATGTTAATTACCTTTGCAAAAATCTTTTGAACCCCACGATAAATCACTCATGTGATAATAATGTTTTAGTGAGATCCAAAATTTAATATTTATTTAATTAAGAAAAGTAGTTATGACATAATTTTGAGAAGCAGTTAGGTCATTTTATTCTATTCAAATCTCACGTAGTGTAATTGCATGAACTTATAGTTAGCTACTAAAAGGACAAAACTATCACAACATTCACGAAAATTTTTACAATGGGAGAGGTCCAATCAACAATAGTTGGGTGATCCTTCGTTGATTAATTGACACATGAATAAAGATTCATCTTTTTATTTTTTTATCATCTCTCTCTTACTTACCTTTTTTTTCTTTTAATTTTTTATTTTCTTACTTCTAATAAATATTTCTTAATTTCATTTTCTTAAATTGTTGATATATTGAATAAAAGAATTAAAATATTTATTTTATTATAATAACTAAAATTTTTTGTAAGAAGGAGTAATTAAAATACTAATATCATGCAATATTTTTTAATAATATCAAATTAACTAAAATATATTTAGTGTTTCAATTACTAGCACCTAAAAAAATAAATTAATTCCATTGATTAATTGACACATGGATAAAGGTACATTTCTTTACCTTTTTACCATCTCTCTTACTTACCTTTTTTCTTTTC